CCTAAAGTCCATATAGGTTCAACTTTAACTAATTTGCCATCACTCCACATAGATGAATCATGCCGCATCAATTGGCTGGCAATTCAAGAAACCCTACATAGACACACTTATATGAGTAGTGGCACAAGAATTTATATACCAAAATGTCAAGGGTCGAAACTAAATTAATCTCAAAACAAACTAAAGTGAGAAGTGTACTTTTCTTTACAAGCCAATCGTGGTATTTAGTAAAGTTCTCTTTATGTGTTCCGATTTTCACAAAAGTAATAGTCAGATTATTTATATATATTTTTTAACTTTTGCTATTTCTTTTGAGCTGAACCAAGTGCAGCTTCCTGATTCTTTAACATGTTCTTAGAGGTACTTGCCAAGTGAGTACTTCCAGTTCTATCTTACTTTATACTTTCTTCTTCTTGCACACAATATGAAAGGAGCTCGTCAAGAGTCCATTTTCCTTTTGTCAATTGTAATTGATCTTAAATTAGCCAAATTGTGCAGAAAGAAAAATCAAAACCAAATACACGAGCAAGTCATCATATGGCTCATACTTTAATTTTTTAGTTTCGAAAGAAGATAAGACATACCCAAAATGTACTCCCTTATATTTTCTTTGGCTTTCTAATTTAGTGGAACCAAATTTATTAGAAGTGTACTAGTTTCGACTTTATATTTTTAAGAAATTCCTTGGCAGTTACCTTATTGGACACTGCCCCTAAATATTTCTGAAATTTTACGCTTCATGATCATAAGACTTATGCGATTTAAATGATCCGATATATTTAAGCCCTTTTTTACTAGAGAAACTCTTATTTGTAAGAGTAGTTAGTTGTTCGGTTATAATGCAAGGTATAGTCTATGCCACCATAACGATGCAAACGTTCTCTTTCTAGTCATTAAAATTTGGTTTCTTTAAGCACATGACCTAAGTTAATGTTAGCGAATATTGTGGAATAGATGGATTAACTGAATAGAGAACTTAAACGTAATTAACATGTTCAAATGGAAACTTATATTGAGCAATCAATAAATTCAAATTATGATGGACCCCATCATAAGAGACTGAGCACAATATTGGTATTTAGTCCTTGGACAGAAATATCAACTTGTATGTGGTAATCTTGGTGTAGTAATTAAGTATTGACAATAAATTTGGTCAATTATTACGTCTATCTTTAAACTGACTCAATATCCAAATAATGGAAAACTTTACAATTTTCACATATTTATTACCAAAGTGTGCCAATAATTCGGCCAAATATTGACATTCCTTTGGGTCAATGAATATTCGCATGAATTACGTACACACAATATTTATAATATTTTAAATAAATTAATTTAGACAAGATTAACATATTGTTTCAGTTAATCTATTTTTTAAAATTAGGAATCCGAAATAAACTTTATGTACCAAGATTTGAAATTGATTTTTCCCTTAAAACTCCTTTGATGCCTTTTATCCTTCATAGTGATCTCCTCTACCCGACAAACCACGGAAGATAAAGGTACATGAATAGCCATTTGATCCCTATCAAAATCTGCATTAAATCCCTTACAAACTAGGCCTTATTATTCCTACATGTTCTGATTCCCTTGAGATGTTGCGTAAAGCCCGCGATGGGAACGAAAACGAGGAGTCTTTTAGGGCCTGTTTGATTCTGTCCATTTTCCAAGGATTTTTCCACCTTTTGTTGTTGTTTGATCGCAAAATTTTTTCTGACAGCTTGTTTTCCTCCCCCCTCACGTGATAAATTTTCCTTGGTTTTGTGGAAACCCAATTCTCATGGTTTTGTTGAAAATTGGTTTTCCAACTTTTTATTTTTATTTTTATTTTTGGTAATTGGAACAAATTCTATTCCTTTAATTGACCATTTTTATGAAAAACAAAGTCAAACAAACATCAAAAGATAGAAAATTTCAATATTTTTCGGGTAAAAAATTATACCAATAAAACATATTTAATTGAAAATTCTAAATAAAACAAATTCTAGGCAATTCAATTCCTTGAAATTCATTTTCTTTACACATAAATTTCATGCTTGCAATCAAACGGACCCTTAATATTTATTTTTTTTTCTTTCTTTTGTTTAAAAAAAAATAAAAATAAAATATGTACATCAAGTCGGCGTTGTAGCGCTCGGAAGCGCCAACATTTGCTTCCCAATGAAAACCCACTGGAAATATGATTTTTTTCTCACAAATTACCAATTAATCATGCCGCCCAAAGAAGAAAAAACACTTCCACTCCTAGAGATGGAAAATACTGACTACTACACCACCTTAATTGAAGCAGCCATGTAAACCCATCTTTACCTCTCTCACTTAATTCATTTGGTTCTTGCATTAGTTATCATCAGGACCTAGGCAACTGCCTAGGGCCTCAAAAAATGTGGCTTGGGTCCAGGGCCAATATCACTAGGGAAGTCCAGCAGTCCAGCAGAAACTTAGGCCCTTCAGGAAATTGAACGGACACAGGAAGGAAATTGAAGGGACGGGAACGAAAGAAAATTGAAGGCAAGGGACCGATTCGACCAAAAGGTAGTAAGTTGTCTTCTTAAATTCATATTTCAATCTGGTGATTACTTGTTTGTTCCTTTTTATATTTTCATAATTCAACCCTTTCTCCAGATTTTTCACTGACGAAATATGTTTGAAAACTGGGGTTGATATAGAGACTATAGAGAAGAACAGAGTAAAAAGTGGTGTTCATTACTGAAGATATCATCAAGCAATATGGAACTATGATGGAAAAAAGTAAGCTTT